GTGACCTCTCTTCTCTAGAGGCCCCAAGGATTGAGGCCCAAGGAGCCAGGACAGGATCAAGAGACCATTCTGGCAGGGAGTTCTGGGCGACCAGGACAAACCTGACAGAGAAAAGATCTTGCAGTGTCTTCCTTTGCAGTCAGCCCTGGGCAGCCTGCTCTGGCCACCGCTGCCACAGGGCCCCTCTTGGCTGAGGTGCAGGCAAGGGAATCTTGGTTTTATTTCTCTTTCTTCCAAGCAGCCCCATTTTGTGGAGATTGCCTTCCTGGGTGGGAGCCGCCTAAAGCGACATACTCGGCAAGACAGAGCTGAGGCACCGCCTGGCACGGCCTACTTGCCAGGAATTGCACATTCCTCTGGTGGGGGTACTTCTACCTCCACTGTCCAGATGAGGAAACTGAGGCTTGAGAGAGACTGAGTATTACTCCCAATGTTATCTGGCCTGGAAAAGGTGGCAAGGCATACGCTGCTCACTCCACTTAAAGTCACCCCTCGGCCACCCCCAGTCACTTTCTAGTACGTGGTTTTATACCCCTTATCATTTTCTGAGTTGACCTGTTCAATACCTGTGACCTCTACTACAGCAGGAGCCCTAACTGCAGCTCAGGGCCTGGCACATAGTAGGTCCTCAATAAATATTTGTTGAATGAGATGGGAGTCAAACCCAGCTCCGGCTCGGTACTCTTATGCTTCCTGTCACAGCACTGATCCTGTGCAAAGTGTCTGTGCTGGGCCCCACGAGGCCACCTGGCAGAGCAGGTAGTGGGGCCCCACAGGGGTTGTGACACCTTTGAAAAGCTTAATGGAAAGCCTACTAAGACATGTGCAAGTTTATTTCATACACTTATTACTTGTCCAGTCTTGGGGATCCTAAAATTCTCTCCTAGTCAAGAATGGGTGAACAGCTGAATTGAGAGTTTCCTCCTTAGATGAGGTCCTCAACCTCAAACCAGACTCTGCTCCCCAACTGCCATTATCTGAGGGGGGCTGGGAGAGTGGAGACATGGCTCCACCAGGTAGAGAGTAGCAAAGGGGTTTACCGGCCACCTGGCCCATGCTACCATCATCTTCTCCTGTCTGGTCCCCCTGCATTCTCTCCCCGTCCTCCCAAGTTCAAGCCAATACTTTTTCTACTTCGAGGCAGCCAGAGTGGCCTTTGAAAAAGTGAACCAGAGCTTGTTGCTCTCCTGCTCAAAACCCTTCAGCAGTTCCCCCACCAGGCTCTGCAGCATCCGGGCCCCTGCTGATCTCTCCGACTTTACCTCCCCGTGTTCCTACCCTCCCCGTGGCCTCGTTTCTCTGTCAGGCACAGTGTCTGATGGGCTGTGGTGCCCACTGTCCAGTGCTGCCAGCGGTTCTGCCTGCCTGACCCTCTTTTCCGCGCCTCCACAAGCTTCTTCAATTCTGTCACCCTGACTCCTTTTCTCATACATTTTCTACAGCTAAATTACCTTTTATTTACATGCTTAATCTTTCCCTTCACCCCCAAGGCCTTGTCTGTTTTGTATAGCATCAAATGATGAGAATCTAGAAATGAATCTAACTCCTGGTCCTAGTCAGGACTCAGAATTGTATTTGTAGAAGGGAAAAAAAAAATTAAAAGCCAACCAAACCAGCACCCAATCTGAGAGCCTGATATAAATGGGCCTAAAAAAATGTGTTCCTTCATCCCCCTCTAATCGGGTAATAATTCTTGAACAAGGCGGCCCTTGAGGAACCCTTTGGGACAATTGAGGGGTTGAATGGTAAGGATCCTCAGACCCATCTTGTTGTCTGTCTGCCACCCCTCATTTCACATGAAGAAGCTGAGGTCCAGAGAAGAGGCAGGCCCCAGCCAGTGTGTTTGGATTATACTCCAAGTCTAATTCCCAGTCCAGTGCTCTTGCCCCACCTGATCCTCTTGTCTGTCCACTTAGCTGGGTGTGGGGAAGGGGAAGCAAGGTCAAGGAGAAGCCACAGGCTGGAAACAGGCATTCAGCTGAGCGCCTCCTGGTCTGGGTGCAGAAGACAGCCCCTGGAGGGTGGGCCAGGCCTGGCCCTGGAACCACGCCTCACTGGCAACAGTGTGAAGAGGCACTGAGCACTTTTCTGACATCTACACTACATTCTGGACCAGCCCATTTGGTACCGTCTGCCCAGATGGAGGAAGCCTCAAAGTGGGTCTGGTTGTTGCCAGATCTTCCCAGAGGCCAAGGTTTTCTCAAAGCCCTCAGTGGACCCTGCCTGCCCTGCTAACACACTGGGGCAGCCTCCCCTCACACTTAGAGGAAAATCCAAATCTCTCTCCTTGAATGCCTGACAAGGTCTGCGCTTTGCTAGCCACTCCTCATCATGGCCTGCTTTACTGTCCATGCTTTGGTCAGCTGAGCCCAACCCCACTGCCTGCCTTTGTGCTGCTGTGCCCTCCCTCCCAGACTCACAGATCCCATCCCTTGTTGCCCATCAAGTTAATATCACCTCACCTTCTTAAGGAAGCCCTCCCTATACACCCCATCTCAAGTAGGGTTGCCTCCCATCTTTCATCATCACGTTTTCATGTTTTTCTTCATAGCACTTATAACTACTTGAAGTTTTTGCATTTTTCCTAGTTTCTCCATCCCACCCGAAGATCAGCTCCTGTTTTATGGATCACTGAATCTTCTGTACTGGCACACAGTAGATGCTCAATAAACATGTTTGAAGAAATGAAACATGAAGGGCACTCGTGGAGTACAGAGATTTGCCTAGTCTTTTCTGCCCAAAGTATTGAACTGGGTGTCTGGAGATCCTGGAGGTGAGGACCAAGACAGCGTCTTCCCCTGCCTCTCCTACTTGTTATCCTAGGCCTGGGGGTGAGCTGCCCAGCTCCGTGAGGACTGAGCATTTACAAAGGTGTAGAGGACTTGTATTGGCCTGTCTCCGCTGCCCCACTGTAAGCTCCCTGCAGAGGGACAGGCGCTCTGCGCTGGGCCAGAGCCTTCAGCCAGTGCCGATTTGAAGGGTGGCTTGGAGTGGATGTTGACAGAGCCTGCACGCCAGGTGTGGCAGGAGGGGCAGCTTTGGTGCTGGGGAGCTGGGATGGTTCTCCATCAGAACCAAATCTTCAACCCTGGTGTTAAAAACGGCCCATGAGGATGTTGTACAGCTTGGTAGCAACCAAGGCCTGAGTCCATCGTGTTGGAAGCGTCTGGGGAGATCATGAAAACGACCCCTGGTTACGCCTGAAGGAGGTTGAGTGCTGGCTCCTAAAGATTCGGGGCCCCTGAAAGGATGGTTCTCTATTCCAGGGGGAAGCGGTAGCAGGTTCCCAGCTATCACCATATTTAGCTGAGTCCAGAGCCTCCGCAGAGTGGGAGGCTAGCTCCCAGTTAGCGCCTGCAGTTTCAACGATGCGCCCACACAGCGCTCGGCTCTGCTCACGGTTCCTGGACAAGCGGAAGGCGGGCCCTTCCTGGCCTTTGCCCAGAGGGGTCACAGGGCCGTCCTTTCGTCCTTTCTGTACCTCTCGCCTCCCACAACACCAGCTCCCCAGGGTTAGATCCCGACAGGGCAGGTCCCAGGGCTGGCACTGGCCGCCACCGGATCACTGGGCCCCGCCTGGTTCCGAGCGGCAGTTAGGCGTTGGGCGCGCGCCCCGCCCCCAATGTCCCCGGGCAGGGGCCTCGCTGGCGTCTTGTCTCCACGGAGACCCGCACGCCTCCCCACTGCAGTGCCTGAAGTTGAGCTCCTTGCAGCAAACGACTCAACCGGCTCCTGGGACGCGCGCCTTTTCTGGGCTCAGTGGGCTGGAGTCTCCAAGACTTGCCAAATCCTAAAACCAGTGGAGACGTTGATTAACATGCAGGCTCCCAGGCTCCCTTCTCTAAGGAGCCAGTCAATAGGTCCAGGGAGGGGCGTGGGATTCGCTATTTTAACAAGGAGATTCTGACGATCGGTGATCGGGCAAGATTGGCAAAGGAATGGACGCAAAGCCTAGAGAGTTGGGTTTCTTGGGTATAGTTACTAGTAAGTAGTCCGGGACCTGCATTAGAGCTTTTCTCCAGCAAGGCTATCCCGAGGCGCTGCTAATGCTTCCCTGGGGTGGGGCCCAAGGGTTTGTCCCCTGGGCACCGATCATCCTGATACCTTGCCCCATTACAGGCTGCCATGAAAAGGATAGAAGCCCCAGGGAAGGCATTCTTGCTTTGGGGACTGCCTCCCCTGTCCCCTTAAACCCTGGCCAGGCCATCACAGTTCTGCAAAGCTGACCACTGTCTTTGATCTCTACCTGGGAGTCTGAAATAACATTCTTCAGCACCCATCTGTAGCCCCTCCCACCGCAGTAGGTCACACCTAAGCCTGCCAAGGAGACCAATTGCTGGTCACCACACGAGACCCTCTGCATAGACTTTTAGATGTCCAGAGTTCCAATAGAGCCAATGGGTTAAAAATATACTGGGGCAGGCCCTAACCAGTTTGGCTCAGTGGATAGAGCATCGGCCTGTGGACTGAAGGGTCCCAGGTTCTATTCCAGTCAAGGGTACATGTCTGGGTTGGAGGCTTGATCCCCAGTAGGGGGCGTGCAGGAGGCAGCCAATCAATGATTCTCTCTCATCATTGATGTTCCTATCTCTTCCTCTCTGAAATCAGTAAAAATATATTAAATATATATATATATAAATAATGTATATATGTATGTACACACACACATACATATATACATTATTTTTATATATATATATTTAATATATTTTTACTGATATAAATACTGGGGCAGGCTGACCTGAACGCTGACTTCTAGGGTGATCTGGCGAAGGGAAAGATGGGACAGTCCTGATGCTGCCTTCAAGGCCTGCGGTTGGACTGTCAGCCCCTGGGGTTGTGCTGGACACTGGGGAGAGGTGCTTCCCAGACTTGTCTGACCGTAGCACCGCCAGAGATGTGTTTGCAGGTAGAACTACCACACTCCACCGCAGTGTCTTTCGTGTCCATGCTGCCTGTGCCTCTGTCTGGAATGCTTTTCAAATTCTGTCCCAGGAAGCCAAAAGGAAACAAGGATTTATTTTTGTATGTTGCAGAGTTCACAAATTGTAGGCCCACCTGGACAGGTAGATAGCATAAAAAAATGAAGTCATTGTGAAGGACTGGTGACCTGAAGGGCATAGTGGAGCCATGAGGGGGCAACTGAGGCCAGCTCCAGCTGCTGTGCCAAGCAGAAGGTGGGCCCAGGGCTGGAAGAGATTCTGAAAAGAAGTGGAAAAATAGTGTTTTTAAATATGTAATCTCTCGTCTTTAAACATTGAGCATTTAAAGTTCAGATTAAATAAAAAATTGCACGCGGTAAAACAAAACACTTCTGCAGTTTTGGGTTGGCCCATAGGCTGCCTATCTTTTAGTAACCCTGGACTTCAGTGCAGATTCAACCCTGCCTGTCCACAATCTTATTGAAACTTCATTTCAACACCCCCTGTGCAGACCCCAACACCCTTCTCTGCTTGTAGCTGGTGCCACAAAGATCCTTCCATTACTAGGGCTGTCTGCCCCATGAGCCCCTCCCTACCTTACTAAGCTTCCTGACATGGTTCTCCTTCATGAATGCCAGGAAACCTACTGCTCACTGAGGAACAGTAGCTGGCCAAAGACTCTACCAAACTGATCTGGGAACCCAGCCTGGAAGGAGATGCCCCGTGACAAGAGGGAGCTGGTCCGAGGCCCCTCAGTGTCTCTCACCGCTAACGGCCACTCAGCATTGCCAGGGTGACTGCCAGGCTGCTCTTTTCTCCCTGTAAGTTTCCACCACAGACTTGGAGGCTAATTTCTCCAAGGCTTCTCCTAGCACCCTGAACATAGAGGTCCCGGGAGAAAGCTGTACAGCACTCGGGCAGTGCACGCTGGGAAACTTCCACGGGTCTGGTGCACAGCCAGCCCTGACATTCCCACACCCGGTGCCCCAAAGCTGCAACTAGTTCTTGGGCCACTTCTTGGCTGGCTTATGTGCTAACTAGCAACCTGCATGGCACTCAGGGGCACCAGGGGCCAGCTGGGGGACTGCGTTTCCCAGGGAGCCCTTGCCTCCTCCAGACTCAGATTGGCTTTCCAAAGGAATGTAATGGCCACAACGTCCTCCGGTAGCCATACTCATGTGCACACAATAAGGGGCATGTGAAGAGCAGTTCCGCAGGCTTCCCCTCTTAACTAACAAAGGAGAAGGGATTTTCTCGTTTCCTGCCCAGAAACACACAAAGCAAGAATAGAAATAAACCCCTTGTCTCTTGCCAACCTGTCATCTTACAGGGCAATGGATGCTGGAGACAATTCTCCAGCTCCTTTACTAGTTTTGTAAGGATCTATGCATGATTTCAGGGAAAAGTCTTCCAGTCTTTCATCACTGAATATGATGTTTGCTGTGGGGGTTTTCCTAACGGCTTTTAATATGTTGAGGAGGTTTACTTGTATTGCAATAGAAGTTTAAGTGTTTTTTTAATGAAAGAATGTTGAATTTCTTTTTATATGATTGACATAAAACACACAAAATGGTTTTTTATTTTGCTTTGCTTTTTAAAACACAGGAGCCAGGCAGGTAAGTTTTAAATAAGGTGGGTCCCCAATTACTGATCACTATGAGGAAATCAGGAATGAGATCACAGTGTTGTATTTTCTTCCCATTTTTTAAAAGCAGCTAGAAAACTGGATTTTGTATGGTATCTTCTCATTTTAAATATTGGTTAGAAGTGTGTAGGGGAGTGGGTCAAAGTATGTACAGAATTACAACAGTGGTGGTAGCGGGTGGGGAGGGTTAGAACACATTTGAGATCTTTAATTTTTTTTAAAAGTCTAAATCTGTCATGAAACAATAATGAGCCTTACACATTATTGTTGTTCAAAATACTTAGGGAAATATTTTTATACCGGTTCACTCTGCCCTTTAGAATTACCCGGAGAGGTTTCAAAAGGATATCTGGGCCCACCACACCAGTGCTGTAAAGTTCAGTAAATTGAGTTGGGTCCAGGCTCAGTTAATTCCAATATACAGCCAGGCTTGAGAAAGGAACCTTCTCCCAGCCAACTTTTGGAAAGTAATGAAGTAGTTTTCTCCCTTTACAGAGGATAGTTTGTACCTTAACAAGTTTTTAATTCCTGGAAAGGGGAGGCCCAGCAAGAAGCCAGCTTTAAGAAAGTAAAAGTTATTGTGACTTTTTGGAGACAGGCTCCTTAAAGGTGTAATTAAGTTAAAATAAGGACATATGGGTAGGCTCTAACCTGGACACTTTTCTTTGCACGTGACTGGTGCCACAAAGACCCCTCATAAGACAAGGAGATTAGATAGACCTAAAACCAATATCGTATGTCAACTGTAATTGAAAAATTAAAATAATATGTATTTTAAAAAGAGATTAGGACTGACACATGGAGGGTGGTCCAAGCGAAGACATGGAGAAGATGCCCATCTACAAGATAAGGAGAGAGGCCCTCAGAAGGAACCAATTCTGCCAACATCTTGATCTCAGACTTCTATCCTTCAAAACTTCTGTCCTTCAATAAAATTCTGTTGTTTAAGCCACCCAATCTGCGGTATTTGTAAGAGAAGTCCTAGCGAATACAAAAGAGCCCTTGAAAAACAACAAAATGGGATCTTGAGGTGAGAGCAGAAAGGGGAAGTCATAGGAAAAGGCCTCTCGAAGGGCACGTCACGTCAGGATCAGAGTTGGCTTCCCGAGCAAGTTGAAGGTGTGGCAGTGACCATCAGAGGTAAACGTGAGGGTAAATATCAGAGTCAGTCAGTGTTAAGGTCAATTTTAAGGCTAATTTAATAATTGGGGTGGGTCCAAGTATGAATGATGGTCTGTGACCAAAGGATGGTAAAGGTCAGGACAACACAGGGTTCAAGTCAAAATGGGTCCTCTTCGATAGAGCAGCAGGATCAGTGTATAGGTCAGATTATTTCAAGGCCAGGCTGAGAAGGGTCAGGATGACTGTCAGGATCAAGATGAGAATCTGGAGCAGGGTCAGGTTCAAAATGAAATCAACACAGGAACATAATGTTCAGGATCAGAATCAGTCAAATTAAGGGGGGAAGAACCACACACAACAAACTCGAATTCAAGTTCACTTCAAAGTCAGAGTGCCTCAAGTAAGGAAGACTGTTAGTGTAAGGAAAAGGGTCATGTTAAGAATCTGTCAGGTTTGCCCTAACCGGTTAGGCTCAGTGGATAGTGCGTTGGCCTGCAGACTGAAGGGTCCCAGGTTTGATTCCGGTCAAGGGCATTTATTTACCTTGGTTGCGGGCGCATCCCCAGTGGGGAGTGTGCAGGAGGCAGCTGACCGATGTTTCTCTCTCATTGATGTTTTTAACTCTCTATCCCTCTACCTTCCTCTCTGTAAAAAATCAATAAAATATATTAAAAAAAAAAAAGAATCTGTCAGGTTCGAGGTCAAGTCAAAACTTAGGAAAAGTTATAGTCAGGATGCTGCTTGGCATTAGGATGAGGGTCAGGTCAAATATCTGAAGAAAGCTAAGGATTAGGGCCAGGATCAGAATCATTTTAAGTTGCCCTAGCCGGTTTGGCTCAGTGGATAGGGTGTCAGCCTGCTGGGGCGTGCAAGAAGCAGCCCATCAGTAATTCTCATCATTGATGTTTCTATCTATCTCTTCTCTCCCTTCCTCTCTGAAATCAATAAAAATATATTATTTTAAAAAATCGGTGACTGAGTGTATACACTGGTGGGATGATCTGAGTCAGAATAAGGGTCAATTTTTTTAGTTTTTAAAATTTATTTTAGAATTCATTATTGTTGAAAGTATTACACTTCCCCCTTTTCCTCCATTGATTCCCTCCAGGCCACTCGCACCCCAGGCCTTCACCACCCTATTGTCTGTGTCCATGGGCCATGCATATATGCATACAAGGTCTTAGGTTGATTACCTCTCATCCACCCACCCTCCCCCACCTTCCCTCTGAAATCCCACTCTATTCCATGCTTCCATGTCTCTGGATCCACTCCATCAGTTTGTTAGATTCCACATATAAGTGAGATCATGTCTTTTTCTGACTTACTTCACTTAGCATGTTACTCTCCAGGTCCCTCCATGACGTCTCAAGGAGTAAGAGATTCTTTTTTACTGTTGCATAGTATTCCATGGCATAAATGTACCACAGATTTAAAACAAAACAAAACATTTTATTGATTTTTTAGAGAGGAAGGGAGAGGGGTAGAGTTAGAAACATCGATCAGTTGCCTCCTGCACACCCCCTACTGGGGATGTGCCCGAAACCAAGGTACATGCCCTTGATCAGAATCGAACCTGGGACCCTTCAGTCTGCAGGCTGATGCTCTATCCACTGAGCCAAACCAGTTAGGGCATGTACCAGATTTTTATCCACTCCTCTACTGATGGGCACTTGGGCTGTTTCCAGATCTTAGCTATTGTAAATTGTGTTGTTATGAACATAGGGGTGCATACATTCTGATTGATGTTTGGGGTTTCTTAGGATATATTCCTAGAAGTGGGATCACTGGATCAAATGCTAGTTCCATATTTAACTTTTTGAGGAAACTCCATACTGTTTTCCATAATGGTTGTACCAGTCTGCATTCCCACCAGCAAGTATACTGGGGTTCCCTTTTCTCCACATCCTCACCAACACTTGTCATTTGTTGATGGCAGCCATTCTGACAGGTGTGAGGTGGTACCTCATTGTCGTTTTAATTTACATCTCTCTGATGATCTGTGACTTTGAGCATTTTTTTCATGTCTCTTGGCCATTTGTATGTCCACTTTGGAGAAATGTCTATTTAGGTCCTTTACCCATTTTTTAATTGGATTGCTTGTCTTCCTTTTGTTAAGTTGTATGAATTTCTTATATTTTTTGGATATTAACCCTTTTTCAGATGCATCCTTGCCAAGTATGTTCTCCCATACAGTGGGCCCCCTTTTCATTTTGTTGATGGTTTCTTTTGCTGTGTAGAAGCTTTTTATTTTGATGTAGTCAGAATAAGGGTCAATTTTAAGGACAACTTCAAATAATCAAATCCATAGCTTGTTGGAATAAACTGAGACGAAGGTAAGCACAGCAGTATTTCACATCCATGCTGTGAGAGGGAATTTGGATTAAACTAAGCAGAAGTATTGAAATGAATTTGTGTTAGTGCAACAAATTCATTCCCAGACATTCTTCTCAAAAGAAACTTATTGCTGCTGTGCCTGTGTGGCTCAGGGGCTGAGTGTCACCCTATGAGCCAGGAGGGCACAGTTCGATTCCCAGTCAGGGCACATGCCTGGTTTGCAGGCTAGATCACCAGTGTGTGTGTGTGTGTGTGTGTGTGTGTGTGCGCGTGTGAGTGTGTGTGTGTGAGTGTGTGCGTGAGTGTGCGTGTGCGTGTGTGTGCGTGTGAGAGTGTGTGCGTGTGTGTGCGCGCGTGTGTGTGCGCGCGTGTGTGTGTGAGTGTGTGTGTGTGCGCGCGCACGCACGCACAAGAGGCAGCCAATCGATTCTTCTCATTGATGTTTCTATTCTTCCTCTCTGAAATCAATAAAAATATATTAAAAAGAAAAAGTGACTTATTGTTAGAGCAAACAGATGAATATAAACATAGCAACACACATTCATCTCAATTCACATCCTTTCTGGGAGGCAGAGCAAATTCAAATGAACCTCAGCAGTATAACCGAAAAGAATCCTTACTGCTTAGTGAAGCAAATTGACTTGTTTCTCTCAAAAGCACATTTATGGTGAATCCAAGTAGGGATATGGAAAAAGATAGTGTATTAGTGCCAATTTCAGTCGTAGCCATTGCTTCTTACTGTAGATAAACCAAATTTAGATGAGCATAGTGTGTATGTGTACAATTTAGGTATAAACGATAAAAATCAGCCAGACATTGGGCTGATGGGATATTAGAATGATTAGTCAGAGGGTGGAGTATAAGCAGAGTTGAATATTCAAAGTCAGGATTGATTAGGGTCTGTTTCTTATTTTTAATATATTTTTTATTGATTTCAGAGAGGAAGGAAGAGGAGAGATAGAAACATCAATGATTAGAGAATCATTGATTGGCTGCCTCCTGCACGCCCCCTACTGGGGATCGAGCCCACAACCCGGGCAGATGCCCTGACCAGGAATTGAACTGTGACCTCCTGGGCTCATAGGTATTTGCTCAACCATTGAGCCATGCCAGCTGAGCAAGGGTCAGGTTCAATGTCATTTCAAGGGGACCATGTTTATAGAATGGCCGTCAGTAACAAGATGGGGGTGAAGATCAGAGTCAAGGTCAGTTTATCATCAAGATTAAAATTAGGGTGAACTATTAATGGGATCAGGGCCACCTACAAGGTTACATTCAAGCTTAGTTCAAGGTAAAGTAGGTTAATGTTAGAATGATCATCAGTTTTAGAATGATGGTCAAGATCAGATGTCAAGTTCCATTTTCATGTCATGTTCAAGGTTAAGATCAGAGGAACAGTAGCCTGGTTTGTAGAGCTGAGCATCACACTAGGTCTATACACCATAGCCCCAAGTTGGAGAGGACTCTGTTTCTCTTGAAGCCAAACAGAACACCAGTTACGCCCAGCTCAGGGAGTGGGACCAGAGAAGATTTAAGCCACAAACCCTTAGCCATGGTGGAATTATAATGGTGAGCTCCTAAGAATGCTTTTTTTTTTAAATGTTATTTTTTATTGATTTTTTACAGAGAGGAAGGGAGAGGGATAGAAAGCCAGAAACATTGATGAGAGAGAAACATCGACCAGCTGCCTCCTGCACACCTCCCACTGGGGATGTGCCCACAACCAAGGTACATGCCCTTGACCGGAATCGAACCTGGAACCTTTCAGTCCGCAGGCCGTTGCTCTATCCACCGAGCCAAACCCGTCTTGGCAGAATGCTATTTTTAATGCATGAAGTATGAACCAAGCGCAGGTACAAGGAAAGAAACCAACTGAGGAGCCGGAGAGTGGAATCACACCAAAGTAGAATCTAAGAGCTATGTAAACAGGGCAATTCTGCAAAACCTACACTCACCCACTGACTGAAACACTGTACTTTATAAAACTGGTTCTAGGTGGCCTCTCTTCAGTTGCAGTTGGTGGCTTACATATGCTGGAATACAGAGCCCCTACTGCCAAATCTTCCTCTCCTATGAAAAATCAGAAATCCAGAACTATGTAATATCTAAGGACCAGCAAGTACACCAATTGAAAAACAAAACACAATACAACACAAAGGCTAAGTTACACTCAGGCTGTGCTGGTCTACGGGTTACCAGCAGTTTGTGTTTGCTCCGCTAAAGGGCCAATGTTTTCCATGCAGGCCCTCCCACCTCCTCCCCGCCAATGCTATGATTAAAAAGACAAAACAAAACAAACAAAAAAGCCAAAACAAACTAGGGACAGGTACTGCAGGACTGGAGATGAGAGGCCTTTCTGTCTCAAAGAGCCAATGTGCCCGGTTATGGAGGGCTCTCCTGCTTAATAAAGCATCGGTTATGATTAGCTAGCATGGTGTCTACTGAGCCAATGTTTCTAGAAGAAGGAAAAAAGACAGGGAAAAGGCAGATGGTCTTTGCTCTTGTTACATTTTATTGGCATCACGTTCATCTCTTTACAGAAGAACTCGGCCTACACCCTAGAATGCAGACCTTAGGGAAAAACGGAAGTGCTTCGTTAAGCAAGCTACAATGCAGGGGCAGATCCTAGGGAGGGCGCAAAACTGCCAGGGTTCCATACCAAAGAAACAGGTTAAGCAATAACGGGCAATATTGGGGAGTTGGTGGGGAAAAGGAGAAAAAGGTTTGCTAACCTAAGGATGCCACAACCCTGAAAGGAGTGCCTTCTAGAACAAAGGTAAAATCACTAGGACAGATCTGTTAGGATTTTCCTTTTCCTGTATAAGCAGGATGCTGATCTAATGGGAAGTTTCAAAGTGTGGAGCAGGGGGGGGAAAAAAAGAGTAAGAATTTTAACAACAGTCATTTATCCACTGCACACACCACTGTATTATGCAAATCAACCTTTTGGAAAATTTAGATACAGAAGGGAACTAGATAGTTTTCCCCCTGGAGAGATGAAAAGCTTTTTGGCTCTTAAGTCTTTGATAAAAGGCGTACATAATTCTTGTGCCTACTGTACAGAATACTGCCTCTAGCTGGATTTCTGAATTCTGAGTTGCTAACAATCTGCAATCTAGACAGGGTTCAACCCTCCATCTTACATGCCTGCATTACAGGACTTAAACACATAATCCAAGAATTTCTTACACTAATTTATATATTTTTAATTGGTTGCATATATTAACATGTACTATAAGATTCTTTTCTAAGAAGCATTACATAATAAATGGATACTGTAAAAAGATCTGATTAGTTAAAAGTAACAAGCATTAACAGATACATACAAAACTCAGCCTGATCAGACTGGGTGTGAGCCTGTAATGAAGCATGGGGCACCAGCCTTCCCAAGTGATAGCCTTCACGGAGCGGGGAGAGGAGGGGGTAAAAAGATCACAAGACCGTTTTTTTAAAAAAAAATCAAGATAACTAATTAGACACAGATTAACTGTAAACAGTTCTCTCTCCCTGGTGGACGAAAAGAATAGGCTTCTGATTCGACTGTACACCAGAACAATTTCTACAGCTGGCCCATCCTGTTGCCACATGAGGGCAGATGCAGTGTGTGGGCAGACCCTGATGGAGCCACCGTAGGCCTGGGCTGCTGGAGTCTCTGCTGTGTCAGGTCTGTGTGTTGTATGGAGGGGTGTGTCTGGTGGGGTTTCTTTTGGCAGCTGGATATGAGATTACTTTACGTATATGTTTTGTTTGAAAGAGGAGAGGGGAGTTTGTGTTGGAAGGCCTAAGTGTGTTCTTCGTTTGTGAAGGGCTCTGTGCTCTGCTCGGACTGCCCATTCAGCAGCTGCAGCTTTCCGCCGAGGCTTTGGCCCGGTCGTTCTTGTCCAGTTTGATGGGTTCAGGAAATTCATTGTACAGTTCCACCTCCGTTTCCTGGGTAACGAGAGAGAAAGGTTTGTTACTTGGCGCACTGGGGAATTCCTGTGGCATATGCACACCTAGGCATAGTGGGTAGAGAGTGGGGACAGACCTAGCAGTGAAGAGAGGGCAGAAGGCACGCAACCCTCAAAAGCTGAGCAATAGGAAGAAAGGTTTTGTGATAATTCCAGGACAATGTGAAGAGAGAAATTCACAGGAAGAATAGCAATCGACACTGAGCATTCAGGACAGAAGCCCTGCATTAGATCACAAGCTGGTGGCTTGGAGGCCACAGCCAGCTCACAGATGCTTTCAGTATGGTCCAGATAGCCACCAACACAAAAAGATGCCTGGATTTTGGCAACTCCACGAGGCAACAGTGAGCTAAAGCTGAGTGCCAGCTGCCTCAGTTCCAAAACATTCCTCCAGTTCTCTATTTGCCACTTATTTTTCTGGACTTAGGGTCTATTTTCTTTTACCCCCCCCCAAAGGTTTAGGAGAGTTATGTTTCCAAATGCTGCATGCTTAGAAACCAGCTGTGGATGAATTTTATCACCATCTCTGGTAAGAAGGGACTGGGACAGTTTAGTGGGACTTCTGCTGAATTAACATTTTTCCAATGAGGAGCAGGTTTCTACTTCCTGGTGTAGGAAAACAATTTGTCATTTAAGCACTGAGTACCAGTGTGCCAGGAACTGTTCTAGGATTTGGAGATTGAAGCAGGGATGTTTCTATTCATTAAAAGTTCCCTTGGGCCCTAACCGGTTTGGCTTAGTGGATAGAGCGTCGGCCTGCGGACTGAAGGGTCCTAGGTTCGATTCCAGTCAAGGGCATGTACCTTGGTTGCAGGTACATACCAAGTGGGGGGTGTGCAGGAGGCAGCTGATCGATGTTTCCCTCTCATCGATGTTTCTAACTCTCTATCCCTCTCCCTTCCTCTCTGTAAAAAAAAAAATCAATAAAATATATTTAAAAATAAAAGTTCCCTTGGAAAAATTACTCCGTTCGCAATAGCTATAAAAAGTAAAGAAAAAAAGAGAGAGAGAGAGAGAGAGAGAAAGAGAGAGAGAGAGAGCGCGCGCACCCTGTCTCCATCTGGTATTCCTAACCCTTGCCAACCACCTAGCTACTTTCTGTCTTAACAGATTTGCCTATTTTGTACATTTCATTTGATGGACGTTTGTTTGGGCTGTTTCCACACTTTGGATATTATAAATAACGCTGTTATGAACATCTGTGTACAAGTTTTTGTGTTAACTTGTTTTCATTTCTCTGGGTATATACTTAGCAGTGGAATTGTTGGCTCATACGGCTTTCTTAGGTTTAACTTTCTGAGGAACAGTTTTCCAAAGTGGCTGCACCATTTTACATTCCCACCAGTACATGGGAATACATTTATTTATTTATTTTTAAATATATTTTATTGATTTTTTTACAGAGAGGAAGGGAGAGGGATAGAGAGTTAGAAACATCGACGAGAGAGAAACATCGATTGGCTGCTTCCTGCACACCCCCTACTGGGGATGTGCCCGAAACCAAGGTAAATGCCCTTGACCAGAATCAAACCTGGGACCTTTCAGTCCATAGGCTGATGCTCTACTCACTGAGCCAAACCGGTTAGGGCTGGGAATACATTTAATATGAAAGGCAAAGGATCTGAAAAATTAGAAAATCTTATTGAAGGATATAACACAAGGCCTAAAATAATAGCTGTTATGGACTGAATGTTTTATCCCTCCAAAATGAATATGTTGAAGTTTTAACACCCAATTTAATTGTATTTGGATTAATAAATTAAGGTTAAAATGAAATCATAAGGGTGGGGCCCTGATCTGACAAGATAACGTGCCCTTATAAGAGCCATCAGAGTTCTTTCTGTCTCTCCCCACTATCCCCATCCTCTGCATGTTCACGCAGGAAAGGCCAAGTGTGGACAAAGGGAGATGGTGGCAGTCTGCAAGAGATGAAGAGAAAAAGAATTTTCTGGTACCTTAATTATGGTCTTTTGGCCTCCAGAATTGAGAGAAAATAAAATTTTGTTATTTAAACCACCTAGTCTGTATTTTGTTATAGCTCCCAGAAGATACTAATACAACAGCTATAATACAATTCCAATCAGAATCTCAGTATGGTTTTATTTTCAGGAAGGGTGAGGAAAGAAAAAGGTGGAACTAAAATAAAATTCTTAGTCTAAATGGAAAAAGTACCAAAATTGCCAGTAAAAAAAACATAAACAGGACTGTGAGGGGAGACTTTGTCAGATCATACTATAATGGTAGTCAAATCAAGTTGGTCAAGGCAAGGAACAGATAACTTACCAGAACAGACTGGGAAGAACAGAAATAGATCCCAATATATATGAACATTTAATATAACAAAGGTAATTTTTCAACCCAGTGGGGAAAATGGTTTAATAACTACCTACAAATATTTGAGATAACTGGCTATGCCCCTCTGGAAGAAAAAGGTGAGTCGTTTCCTGCCATAAGCCAAAATAAATTCCACCTGAATAAGAAAACATGTGAGCTAGACACAGGAAATGCAGAAATTTAAAATGACATACCTAACTAAAAAATTACTTTTTTCCTATGGCCAAAGGAGGTGTATATATCTATATACATACACTATACTTTATATACAGTATATAAAAACAGCAGAGTTGGGAAAAAAATTACTTCCAGTACAGGTGAAGTTAATTTCAGTTCACAAAGAGCTTAGGAGGACTGACAGGTGTCCAGGTAAGTGCTGTACTGGCTACCTGTAGCAGAGAAAACCCAAAGATTGGCAGAGTGTCAGCAGAGTTACAGATGATGCCTACCACCTGCTGACAAGGAGGTAAAAGAAAACTTGCATTGCTAGTGGGAACTAAAGTATTACTCACCCTGGGGAAAGCAATCTGGTATCATCTCTTAAAAATATACACGGCTTTCAATTTAACAATCTCAGTCCTGTGAGGCTAGCTTATACAATACAAGCATTATAGTAAGGCTATAGAGACAGCAATATTCAAAGAGAAAAACTCCAACAGTGATCGTAGTCAACAGGGAACTGGTGGAAAACAATTTCTCACACATATTTAGTTTTGCATGCAATCAGGAAAAACACAATAGGTTATTAATCTAAGTGTGAGAGTGGGTTAAAGGCTGGGGGAAAGAGGGAGACAAAAAGGCTAAGCCTGCATCCTGGTCAGGTCCTTCCCGCTGTATCCGTGTTTCTCAGTGGGGTCTCCTGGCATTTGGGTGGACCAATTCTTCGCTGGATAGGGCTGTCCCTTTTCATTATGGAACACTCAATGCAGCCCCGTCTTTGGAAAACTCATTCCAAATTTCTCCCTGCTCACAAGTCCAGGTGCCCTATCCTGCTAAGACCCGCTGCCATCTATACAGTTTCCTGGAGCAAGCAGAACCCACCTGGCCCTTTACAACCACTACATGCTCCCTCAAATGTTCTCTGCATGCCCGATGTGCACCTCACCTCTGACAACCTCTCAATCCGTGCCTGACAACCCACATGACTGACAATGCTTCATGACTTGCCTTACTCACTGGCCCTAATGAAGCTGCTAAATCAAAAAAGCCTTCAACTCCCACATGACAACATACCATTTTATCTGTGAATAGTTGAGTGAATAACACAAGAAAGAAAATGCAGGAAAATTTTATTCAAGGAATACAATTCCTAGAGCTTCTGGTTAACCTTTCTGATGACAAAAGTCAGTCCATCTCATTTAGTCAGTATAACCACTGTGCAACCCTGCTATTCTCATTTTAGAGATGAAGAGATGGAAGCTCATCAATGATCAACTAGATCTACTGATGGATAACAGAGCTGGGGTTCAAAGTCAAGTTTATCCCCTCCATGAACAGGAGTAATCCCACCAGGGGCCTCCAAGTGGCCTGATCTCCTTAGCATGTGAAGAAAATGAGAACATGCCCAGCCAAACAAGGGTAGCCTCAGCTGAAGTCTTCACTGCCCTGCATCATTATTCATAACCAAGTGGCATTTCTAGAAGCTTTAGCAGAATATGCCATTACTTCCCAGATAAACATTTCCTAGCTACATGGAAAAGAGTCGGCTAGGAAAGAAGATTAAGAATAAGGAAGCCAGGCAGGGTCTGGGTCAATGGCCAGTCATCACCACAGGGAGCCAGACAGCTGCCAGAGACCAACCTGTTTAAGTGCATTCCGTGCAATCGTCTGGAATGCCTGCTCCACGTTGATGGCCTCCTTGGCACTGGTCTCAAAGTAGGGAATGTTGTTTTTGCTGTAGCACCAGGCCTGTGCTCGTTTCGTGGCCACCTGGAAGGAAGCAGGGATATGTGTGCTCATATTAGAAGTAGCCAGCACTGACTCAGCCTTTCCCAGGGGGATTATTGTCCCTAGTCTACAGGTAGCATAGGTGAGGAAACAGGCTTCAGGCATGAGGATGTGCAGTGGGTAGGGGATGGAGAGAGACCTGCTGGCTATGCACTGTATAGCTAGGATTCAAACTCAAAGCCCACTCTCTTACAACCCATGGCTTTTGACCCTTTGCTATACATAAAAGCAGCTTGTGAAGGGAATAAGAAGCCAGCCCAGGAAGAAATGAATGGTCTCTCCTGGGACTTCAGAGGTCCCAGCACAGGAAATGCCTAACAGCTTGGTCTTAAGGTTTGCAGTCCCTTCCCCATTACTGCTAATGCTATGTCACCTGTGCCACACACCAAAGTGCCAAAGAATTCTGCAGCTCTCAACAACACTCTTGACCCTCATATCCTAATTCCTCCCCCTACCCCAGCCCATTTTCAGGTACAAGAGCAGGACTAATTCACTTAGGAAAAAGATTAATGGTCAGAAATAAACCTTAAGAAAAAGTCTATGTTCCCAAGAGAAATGCTACATGCAAGTAAACCAGAGTAATTTTATTCAAAGCTCAAAGCAATTTTCTACACCAATGAAGATCTAGGCAGGTCCTTGAGGCATTGGGAGAGCACCTGAGAATGACAAAATCGAATTCCTTCCTTTTATTTTAAATATATTTTTATTGACTTTAGAAAGGAGGAGAGAGGGAGAGAGAGATAGAAACATCAATGATGAGAAGCATCAATCAGCTGCCCCCTGCACATCCCCTACTGGGGATTGAGCCTGCAACCCAGGCATGTGCTCTGGCAGTGAATCAAAACAGGATCTCCTGGTTCATAGGTTGACACTAAACCACTTAGCCATGCCGGCTAGGCTTAATTCCCTCCTTTTAAGTGCAGAAAGAGAACTGAGGCTCAGAGGCCAAAGGTAATACCCCAATATCACAGCCAGCTGGGCCAGCATTGGGGTTTAAACCAGGTCTCCTGTGCCCTGGTCCTTAAAGGCTGCTGGTCTAAAGGTAGCTCACTCTCTCATGTGAAAATACTAGAGCAATTCTGGGCTTAGCACAGAACCCTTCAAATTCACATGGTCCCTTAGACGCAAGTGTCTCTCATAGGAGAGGAAATACTTCCAAATTAACAGTGCATCCTGGCTGTCATGGGTCAGTGGCTGAACGTTGACCTATGAACCAGGAGATTGCAGTATGATTCCCGGTCAGGGCACATGCCCAGGTTGTGGCTCGATCTTTGGTGGGGAGCATGCAGAGGGCAGCCAATCAATGATTCTCTCTCATCATTGATGTTTATACCTCTCTCTCTCCCTCTCCCTCTCTGAAAGCAATAAAAAATATATTAAATAAAAATTAAGAAAAGGCAGGGCAGGGCCTCTTTCGGGGGGGGGGGGGGGGGGAGAGTGCATAAGCCAGGCTTTAAATTCAATTCTGACTTTATTTTTGTTAATATTCACCTGAGGATATTTTTCCCATTGATTTTCAGAGTGGAAGGGAGGAAGGGGGAGAGAGAAACATTGATGTGAGAGAGACACATTAATTGGTTGCTTCCTGCACAGGCCCTTTGGTGTGCAGGTTGATGCTCTAACCAGTTAACACTCGCCAGGGTAATTCTGTCTTTAAATCCAAAAGACCAAAATGCAAGATATCACATACCCTCGTCAAATTGTTTCACTAGGACAGACTATGAGGGGTGGCCAGTACAGGCAGCACCTCAGCATGGACTTGCTGCTTTGCTGACATGACTTCAAAGGGACCACCACTGCGGACTTCACAGCCCCTATTTACCACAGGGAAGCCAACATGGGATGCCTTTACCCAGTTAGACAGCAAGACTCCATTCCAAGGGCTGAGCACGTAACTCATTAGGCCCATGGGGCACACAGACATATGGGGTACTGGTCCTTGAGGCATGTGGCATTATACCAATCAAAGCTGAAAGCAGCACTTGTCATCCCAAACTTAGCTGTCACTTTTAAAAGGCCTTTTCTATGATCCAATAGCCATAACCTACATGAGGGTAGGTTCATAAACCTCCACATTTATGATTCCCACCATCTTTAGCACTTACTTGTCTGTTTTCAAGGTCAATCTTATTTCCCAACACCACGAAAGGAAAGTTTTCAGGATCCCGAGGACTGGCCTGGATGAGAAACTCATCTCTCCAACTATCAAGGGTTTTGAACGTGTTGGGGGCAGTCACATCAAATACCAGAACGCAGCAGTCTGCACCCCTATAGAAGGCCACACCGAGAGACTGGAACCGTTCCTGTCCTGCTGTGTCCCAGATCTGTGAGAGACAAAACATTATTCCTTGGGGTAGGAGCACCAGGACTGAGGGAAGCCAGAGGATATGAGGTGGATTACAGGGCCAGCCAGATCAAGCAACTTCAGAATTCAGGAAACAGATTTCACTACCAGAGTATCTAAAACAACCCAGACAAATAGCATAAATGTGAGTAGGTGTGTCTATGAGGGGTGACATTGAGTGTGAACTCTAGGGCCCTAGACAATTTTATCTTAATCCAGGTGGTAGTCACATTGGTAGATATTTATGAAATATTCACACTATAAAAATGAACATTTATGTATTCTGGGAACTGTCTGGGGGTGAATATAGGGAGATGATTTCTCACTAAATTGTATATATAAATCTATGCATTTCACTGCATATAGTTTTAAAAAATCAGCTTATTATGTTTTATTTATACCTCAAATAAAAATCAAAGCAAAAAAAACCCAAAAAACAAACCCTGACAGAGAGATAAAGACAACAAGTACACATTCTAGAGTACAGCTGAAAGCTAGCTTTTAATCAAAAGAACACCAGACCCTAGTGACCAGCTCAAAGTTCTCATCACACATTGCCATGCTAGGTTCAAAGAGCAAGGGTGGATTTCTCACTGACCTAGATCTCTAACAGGGCCACTTGGTCAGCCTAGAACAGGGGTGGGCAACCTTTTTGTGAATGCGTGCCAAAACCAGCAAAATCTCTGACTCAAAATTCTTCTGCGTGCCAACCCTAATTTTTTGAGAACATGTTACGCCTACTTGATATCTCTTAAGGTGTATGTATGTGAAGAACCTTGAAGAAATAATAAAATTCATTTGAGCAACAAAAACACAGTATATGATGATGAAAAATACATTTATTTTTTAATGTATACATGTACACTGATAGTCCGACAGAAAACTTTATGACTCCGTTTGATATTATCAGTGGGACTTTTGCTGCTCCATCACTGATGACAGAGATTTTACATCAGGTTTATATTTCCTGACCTTCAGAGATATGCACGAGCTACTACTTTCATCCATCAGGCTACTCCTATTATGAGACTTAACAAAATTCATCACTGAGAACAAAGATTCACAAGCGTATGTGGATGAAACCAAAACACTGGTCGGATCTAGGAAGGCAGGGAGAGTTAAGGCAGAGGCATAGAAATTGCTCTTCCCCTCTCTCGTCAATCCACGTCTATGGTCTTTAAGATAACTTGTTGTGTAAAATTATTTATTTATCTAAGATGCACCTACACTGAATTTATCTGAAAAATAAAGAAGTCGATATTAAGAAAAAAATTGTAAATGGAAGATTATAAGAGAGGGTTTCGCATGCCAGCAAAAGTTACTGGCGTGCCATGTTTGGCACGCGTGCCAGGGGTTGCCCATCCCTGGCCTAGAGAGATGACAGTGTTCTGAGAACAGCTGCCTGGTTTAGGAGAGTGCCTGGGTCAGAAGTAGCTTGCAGTTACTTCCTGCTGACATGGGTCAACTATTGGATCCACAGTCTGTTTATAGGAAAACCACTTAGGACAACATGGAAACGTGGACCATCCTCATAACCCTAATAAATTCCAGCTTTATGTCCAAATCACCAGCCAACTCCCCCAAAGGCCTGGGGTTCAAACCAAACTGGAGGATGGATTGGGTCACTCCAGTTTTCTATCCAGAATCAGATTTTGCAAAAGGATGGTTGAGCTCCTCTTTGAAGCCCTTCTCAGTCAGTCAATCTTGCCTCTCAGTGATCCTGAACACTTGGAGAACATGTCAACTGCACCCAGGCCAAAGGCTAAGCTCCCCTTCAGGTAGAAGCCTCATTATATAAAATGGGGTAGGCTGCTTGGTTAGAATATATAAATATGCATAATGGCAATAAAGTAGGACAAGGCAGTATTATGGGATCAACATTTCTTTATTACTACCAAGGTAAACAAAGCTCATGATGTTCTAAACCCAATACCTCCTACAACGCTCTCCAAAAGGAGTCCTAAAACATACTATGCAATTCTAGACAGTAGGTTTACTTTTGGGAACTGGCTCAGATGACACAGTGGCAAACAGGAGCAGAGCCTTAACTTAAATACTGTTTGGAAGACTGGAAATGGCAGCATTAAAACCTTTAAGAAGCTTCAAAAAAGCAACACGACTACATAGGCTGAACAGTCTCTCTCATAGATTGGTCAAAGTAGACCAGGCTAATGGCAGGCTGGAAGGAGCTACTCTGGTTACCAGTGTCAGTGGTGAGCAGAGAGCATATCTCAGCTTTCTGTTGAATAATAATACCCAGAAGCCCCAAGGTTACTCCTGTTAGGGCAACTCTGAGAAGTCCACCTCATCCTTTCCTCTATGTACGTGGCCTTCCACAATCAGTACATGACAGCATGGTCAACCAGACTCTTGGCCACACCTCTGGTAGCAGGGAACCTGACTTTGGTAACCCACTCCCTTCCCAGGCAACTCTAACCAATACACACTCTACTTGCTCTGGGAAGAACCGTTCTACAATAGGACATGTCCAAGCAGCCACAGAGGTTGGCCCTGATTGTGGGAATGGAGTTGGGAGGTTGTCATGAATGTCCGCATGAGGTATACAGCTCAAATGACTGGGTAAAGGAAGCAGCCACTCAAATGATGATGTGATGATGGCTTATATGTAAGGATAAAGGGCAATAAAAGACAAATTCAAATCTAATTATTCTATCTGCTTCTCAGCAGGGTGTGGAGACTAAATCCTGCCTGGCCCCAGTACAATAAGCATTTAGTAAGTACACAGTAGGCAAAATAGGATCTCTACTGACAGTAGATAACCAGTTCAGGGACTGCTGGTGATGCTTGCCTTGGCGGTTTTCTGTTTTTTCAACAGTCTACACTGAATATATATCTCTTAGAGTGACAAAGCAAACCTTTTCTCATAAAAAGAGACTAAAGTGAGGGAGAATAAGGAAAGTAGAAAGAGACAACTACTCCTAAAAAGAGAAAATAGGGAAGAAACATTTTAAATCTAGGTTTGGACAAATTTAATAAAATATTTTTCCTTAGAGAAATAATATCGTTATGTAATTTGGATAATCAAAAGAAAAAACTCAATCACTTGGCTCCTGCCCAGAAAACATCTTCACTAGCTCATGTCTTATTCTTACCCACATTGTAGGGTTTTATGTAGCTGAAACTTTATACCACACATCACTCTACAAGCTCTCTCATATCACTCCTCTGCCCCGCAAAACACCACGGTGTTCACCCCAGCAACAACTCACATCTTTATTGTTGCTCAAAAACTCGAAAACTCAGTGAATAACTACATTCCTGTTTTTTACAAAAACATTGTTGCCAATTTTTCATATTATAAGTAACTTAATAATAAACATGAACATACAAAGCCTTTTCTATATTTCAGATTGCTTCTTTAGGATAGAATCACAAGAAGAGAACTATGTAAGAACTCTTGGGTGGAAGCAAATGGGTATCTGGCATTCCAGATACACAAAGAAGGCAAAGTAAGAATTTTTTCTTAAAAGCTGAAAAGTATGTGTGTGTGTGTGGGGGGTGGGGGTGGGGGTGGGGGTGGGGGGGGGCAGTTATTCCTAGCAAGTTTCCAGAATTAATTTAACTTCAAACTTAGAAAAAAGTTCCATGGCTGTGATCTTTTAAAATTTTTAATATTTAAATTGAAACATTTTATTTTCTACATTCAAAATATACCTACTAGTCTAATGTAAAAATTCTAACACTGCCATTTTAATGTCAGTTTTCTCAAAGATGTATTTTTATTGAGTTCAGAGAGGAAGGGAGAGGGAGAGAGAAAGAAACATCAATGATGAGAGAGAATCACCCATTCTTCTTTCAGGCCTCATCTTAACTGCCACTAAAAATCTCAGAATTTTCAACTTTTGGTTACTGTATTTCATTTTCAGAAGTTGTACTAACCTATGTGATTTTAGTTTTTTTCTATGCAGATATATAAGATTGCTTTAATTCTGTGAATATAAAAAACACCCTAAAATCACCATTTCCACTGGCTCTTCTTGTCTGTTTTCTTATTTGGATTATCTTTTATTGTAAGCTGCTAAAAGGTCCTGAAAAATATGTGAGGACACCTCAAGATCTAGGATGATGATGCCTTTGTCCAAAGATGGTCGTTTTCATTTACTTCGTCTTTTAAATTGGCTGCAAAAGCACAAGGGGGAAAAAACCCCACAAGGGCCGGCCCTTTGTTCACCTCTCAGGAATACATTCTCTGTTCCACTCTTTCTGGACTCCACTCAGTGCCCCGTGGTTCTCCAGGTGTTTACTCCAGGATCCCAGATTACCAGTGTGTGTGGCTCTAATACAGGGGCTCCCAACCCTGAGGGGTTAGGCTCTGACTTCTGAATCCGTCCACAAGACTATGAATACCACAGCTTGGTTCTCTAGGTCTGTTTCTCCTGGTGTAGGAAGCAGCACATTGTGTAAAATCTTCAGGTGGTACTTTATCCCCAGCACCCCAAAAGGATTCCATTTCATTCTGCCTTCTGTTGCTGTTGAGAACTCATCCGTCGGTTGGTCCTTTGTAAGTAATCTGCCTTTTCTCTCCACTTGCTCTTATGACTTTGCTTTTTGGTGTTCTGCAGTTTTGAGTTTTCTTAGAGACAATCTGCTCAGTTCTTACAGTTTACTGTTTTCTTCAGCTACTTTAATTTGCAGTTTAACTGGCTATTTAGTTTATTTCAATGACTATTTTTTCACTTCTTGAAGTTGTAAGTTTTCCATATCCCCATTTTTTTTTATAGTATCTCTTTTCATTTGGTTTCTATTCCTTTTTCAAAAGTCTCTAGTCATTGTGAACATTTTTTGTGGTATATTATTTCCTCATGTGGCTATGAGCTCATCTTCTGTCCATGGCTTATAAGTGTCCCTACAGAGTAATCTCATCTTTGTTTTTGCCCACAGTGATAGGATTTACGTTAAATTCTTCCAAAGATTTGTGTGCAGAGTATAAACTCAATACACATATGAGCATACTGGGACTGAGATTCTCCAACAAGGAGGCAAAGCCCCAAGCCTATTTTTCACACACAAGCTTTGCCACTTTCTTTGGTCGAGGTGTTTGGTCCTGTTTTCACATCTTTCCAAAGTCCTAGACAAGTGTGTGGGTGCATGTTTCCAAGGGAATTCTCAGTTCTAGCTCCCCTACCTTGTACAGTCACAACTCCTGTCTCTGCTAATTGATACAACTCAAGTTCCTGTTCCGCAAGTGCAAATCACCACAGCAGGAGCCCCTGAGCTTATCACTAACTTTCAGTTCCCTCTTCTTTCCTGTAATCTGGAAATTTTCTTTTCTCAAGCTTGGCTTCTTGAGAAAATATGAGTTATATTTTGAACATCTCCAGGTACATGTATGGGGGAGGTAAGGAAGGGAGATCCAGGATAACTGTGTCCTGAATGTGTGAGTCAAGAAAGTATGAAATCCTGCCCCAGCTGGTTTGGCTCAGTGGATAGAGCATCGGCCTGCAGACTGAAGGGTCCTAGCTTTGATTCCAGTCAAAGGCACATGTCCAGGTTATGGGCTCAATCCCCTGCAGGGGATGTGTAGGAGGCAGCCAATCAATGACTCTCTCTCATCACTGATGTTTCTCTCTCTTTCTCTCCCTTCCTCTCTTCAATAAAAAAATATACTACAAAAGAAAAAGAAAGTATCAAATCCTTACTCTCTGGGAGCATGTCACAGCTCAAAATTAACACATGTAAAAACTCTACCATTGAATGTAACTTGTATCATTCAAACATTGCAGTGAATCTAGTGCTTGCTAGGACACAATGTATTTGTCTCTAGAAACTCAGTCATCCAGGGACATCATTTTAATAATATGGAGAGGAAACTTATATGAAGGAAGAAGTTTCAAGACATCATCTGGACAAAAGGTGGAGACTTCAGGAAAGGTGTATATGTGACAAAGGAGCCTCAATGGAAGCACAGTCATGTGTACATGAGTTGGAAGAACTGGCAGGAATGAAGAATATTTTGTAACCAGAATGTGAAGGCTTTCAAAAAACCGTATTTTATCCTAACTGTAGAAAGGGAAGCCCTTGAAAAATCAAGCTGATACATGAAACAAACAAACAGATTGGCTTAACAGAAACACAACTTTGGCAGCTATCGATAAGACAAATTAAAATAATCCAGAAAAAACAGGAAAACTAATGACTGCTGCCAAGAACCTAGACGGGAGCCGAAACCGGTTTGGCTCAGTGGATAGAGCGTCGGCCTGCGGACTGAAAGGTCCCAGGTTCGATTCCGGTCAAGGGCATGTACCTGGGTTGCGGGCATATCCCCAGTAGGAGATGTGCAGGAGGCAGCTGATCGATGTTTCTCTCTCATCGATGTTTCTAACTCTCTATCTCTCTCCCTTCCTCTCTGTAAAAAATCAATAAAATATATCTTAAAAAAAAAAAAAAAAAAAAAAAGAACCTAGACGGGAGACAAAGATTATTATTATTTTTTTTCTGCCTAAAGCACTAGTCAAGGATAGTAAGAAAGGAAAAAGATTAGATATTTTGGAAACACAAGTAGGAACCTGTGTTAAATTTAGCAAACAAAACAAAACAACCCAGAAAGTCCAAGTTAAATTTTTAGTATGTCTCATACTATATTTGAAACATGCTTGGGGTCTTGTATTTTATCTGGCAATTCTACCTGTAGTGAATGATCCATGAAAATAACAATGGGATTTGAAGAACAGGGAGGGGAAATGTCTAGACATGAACAAAGGGTTAAGACTCAATGAAGTTAACAAGGCTTGTTGAGACGTGTGCTTACCTGCATTGTAACTAGTCTGTCATCCACCATCACCTCCTTTGTCAGAAAGTCTGCTCCTATTGTGGCTTTGTACTGATTACTGAATTTCTTGTTCACATACTGGTTCATGAGTGATGTCTTACCAACTCTGAAATTGGAGAAAAACCACAAGTATAAATCACCTAGGAAGGGAGCAAAGCTGATTCTGATACTTGCAGCTTTGAAGGAACCTGCCTGTTGTGAAGAACGGGAAACTGAGCTCACACACAGGGCAGACAGCAAAATTCCCAGCATTACTCATTTGAGGTTGTATTTTCTCCTGGGATAAAAACACAGGATACAGATGTGGGCCACGTGTTAAAAGCTGATATATACAGGGTGTCCCAAAAAAATGTATATACACTTAACAGCTAATAGCTTAACTGATGTTTCTTTCTTTTCAGATTTAACCCATTGGAATTAATAGGTATTCAAAGTGTGTATATATATTTTTGGGACACCCTGTATATGTATTTTATTGATTTTATAGAGTGGAAGGGAGAGAGGTGGGTGGGCGGCAGGGCGGGGTGGTGAGAAAGAGACATCAATGTGAGAAACATGGATTGGCTGTCTTCTGCACACACCCCAACCGGGGATCAAATCCGCAACCTATGTACGTGCCCTGACCTGGAATCGAACCTACAACCTTTTGGTGTAAAGGATGACGCTCCAATCAACTGAGCCACACTGGCCAGGATACTGCTTATAAGTTTTGGTACAGACAATTCAGCAGGTAGAACCTTTTTTTCCCTTCCAGAAGGATGCCAGCAAATACTCTCCAAAAATATCTCTGCTGTCTTGGGTGTCTCTCCATTTAATGTTTGTTATTCAGTCCAAGAAATAATAGCAAGAGACAGCCACTGGATTTGAGAGATACACAGGGCAGTCAGCCAACCAGCTGCTTCAAAGTTTCAAATCTGTCAGAGAAAAAGCACCAGTATTCCACCAGACCAGAATCTACCTCAAAGTATGCTCCTTTCAGACATGTTTTTCAGTAAGAAAGTTAAACAAGAGACCATGTATGATTTTTCTCCTGATGAGGTTAGTTAGGCAGGATGGATAGAATGCAAAAGCCTTCCTCAGGGCCAATAACACCACCTTTCTTTCCCACAAAGGAGCACATTCCTTTTCACACGCAGATGACCTGAAAATACAGACACAGCCTAAGGCAGAGTTCTCCAACCCAGGCCACCTGAATTAGAGGTTCTAGGAAGCATTTGGAACCAAGGCCTGGTATTTCTTTTCAGGCAAGTCTGATTAACACAGGACTAAAAGCAGTGCCTTGCAATCCTGACAGCACACCAGAATCATCAGGAGAGTGGTGTTTGTGCCTGAGTGTGAGAGAGGGGAAGAGGAGAGGGGGGAAGAGAGAGAGAGACATGAATTCTTGTATGTGCCCTGACTGGGGATCGAACCTGCAACCTTGGCATACTGAGATGACGCTCTAACCAACTGAGTGATCTGGCCAGGGCCAAATGCTAACTTTTAAAAGGCTACTCAGGTGATTAAAAACAAACCAGCCAGGGCATAAAAATTGCTGCCTTTTTAAAGAAAGGGCAGCGATCACTGGAATAAAAAGGCACACCTGTATTCATTATTATTAATTAATTTTTTAAAAAATATAGCCTCCAGTAGGTCTAAGCTTTCATAGGTCACTTCAGAAGCCAAGTCTAAAAACCTCCCACAGAATCTTAGCAGTTACTAAAAAGTTAGTATGTGGTAGATCTTGGATCAGAACTCAGTTCCCTAGTCTGAGGCTCTTTCAAATCCTGAAACAGGCACAGCAGTAGGAAGATACTGCATAACATACCCCAAGCCCACATCTAGTAGGCCCAATGCCAACATCAGCAAATCTACATAACAGAAGTGATTCCCTGAAAAACTATTATTAGTTGAGTTCAAATAGTCACCCTTTTCCCCAAAATCATGCCAGAAATCAGAGAACATGGGGTTACGTAACAAAGAATAATTCTAATTTCTATGGTATCCCCAAATAGCAGGAAGACCTAGGGCCCTAATGCCACTGCAATTAGAGAAGGAAGTGGCAAATGTCGTATGGCGGGATGGGTTCCAAGGAAGTGAAGTTTGAATGCAAGACAATTTGTTAGGTCAAATTTATGAGAAACACTTACCCTGAATCTCCCAGGATGATAACCTTCAGCAACACTTTCTTCCTAGAGGTCATCCTTCAAACTAAAAGAAGAAAGAAGAAAGCACTGTAAGTAGAGGGAAACACCAAGGTGAACCACTTTCCTTGGCACAAACACCTAAGTGCCCCAGGAGAACTGTGCCCTCAACCCTCCTGCTGTCCATTTCCCCTACTATCTAGGGCAGTGATGGCGAACCTTTTGAGCTCGGCGTGTCAGCATTTTGAAAAAACCCTAACTTAACTCTGGTGCCGTGTCACATACAGAAATTTTTTGATCTTTGCAACCATAGTAAAACAAAGACTTATATTTTTTATATTTATTTTATATATTTAAATGCCATTTAACAAAGAAAAATCAACCAAAAAAATGAGTTCGTGTGTCACCTGTGACACGCGTGTCATAGGTTCACCATCACTGATCTAGGGACTGTTATAGAGAGCAGTATCAGTCACTAGAACTCTGGACCCCAAAGTTAGGCAAAGGCACATGGCAGGTCATCCTGCCCCTGGAAGTAGTCTGAGAATGGACTGTCCCGCTTGGATGTGGGATCAGTTGGGATTAATGCAGAAATTTACAACCTTTCTCATCTCACGGTGCACATAAACGAATCACTAAAATTTGGCAACATTCCAAAAAAATGTATTATATTTTTTGCTGATCTGACAAAAAATAGGTGTAATTTTTATTCATTCATACCAGATTGCTGTTGCTGTGTTGGCCATTGTCGTATTTTTATTTGACAATAAAAACCTAAGGGAAAAGTGGGCAGTGCCCCTAACTAAATAATCAGGTATTGCATATTTCAGAAAATGCATTGGAAATCCTGGATTAACGTTCCAACTTACTCAGCTACACCCTACTTCCTTCAAGTCTCTGCACAGATATGCCTTCCTCAGAGAGGTGATCCCTTTATCTCAAGTAGCATGCGCTCCCCTATTTGCTCTCCATTCCTTTATTCTGCCTTATTTTTCTTCAGAGCATTACCACTACTTTTGTTTGTTTGTTAATCCTCACCTGAGGATATTTTCCCCATTGATTTTTTTTAGAGAATGAAAGGGTGGTAGAGAGACAGAGAGAAACATCGATGTGAGAGAGACACATTAACTGGTTGTGCTTGCACCTGCATGCGCCCCCCCAATCACTGGGATTGAGCCTGCAACCGCCGTACGTGCTCATGACAGGAATCGAACCTGCAACCCTTCAGTCCAAAGGCCAACGCTCTAACCACTGAGAAACTGGGTAGGGCTCCTTGACATTTTTTTAAAAATATATTTTATTAATTTTTTACAGAGAGGAAGGGAGAGGGATAGAGAATTAGAAACATCGATGAGAGAGAAACACCGATCAGCTGCCTCCCGCACACTCCCCACTGGGGATGTACCCGCAACCAAGGCACATGCCCTTGACTGGAATCGAACCCAGGACCCTTGAGTCTGCAGGCCGACGCTCCATCCACTGAGCAAATCAGTCAGGGCGCTCCTTGACATTTTTATGTATCAGTTTGTCTGTCTTCTCCCTCTTTTAATAATCTCCTTGAAGACAGTTTTATTCCCCACTGTACCTCCCGTGCCAATTAGAGAATTATTATCAAACTAGAGGCCTGGTGCATAAAAATTTGTGCACTGTGGGGGGGCCCTCAGCCCTGTGCCCTCTCGCAGTCTGGGACCCCTCAGGGGATGTCCACCTGCTGGCTTAGGCCTGCTCCCCGGGGGATCTGGCCTAAGCTGGCAGTCAGACATCCCTCTGGCCCTCTGGCAGCCCTCGGGGGATGTCCACTTGCCAGTGGGGAGCAGGCCTAAGCTGCAGTCAGACATCCTTAGCGTTGCTGAGGCGGGAGAGGCTCCCGCCACCACCTCTGTGCTGGCAGCCATTAGCCTGGCTTGTGGCTGAGCAGAGCTCCCCCTGTGGGAGCGCACTGACCACCAGGGGCAGCTCCTGCATTGAGCGTCTGCACCCTGTGGTCAGTGTGTGTCATAGTCACCAGTCATTCCCAGTCGTTCTGTTGTTAGGGTCAATTTGCATATTACCCTTTTATTATATAGGATAGGAGTGCATGAATAATACTTGACTTTGAGGCTCTTACTTTTACTCAACTTTTTCCAGAAAACCTTTCAGGCAGCCCTCCTATACCCTTCACCAGATAGGTAATCTTTGCTTAACCCTCTTCCACAACTGACCACACCATGTCCTATTTTATTTATCAAGACAGGGCTCTTGTCTTAATTACCTCTCAGTCTCCAGAGCATGGCTCAGTGACTTTCAGAAAATAACTGGCTTTCAGAAAAGTAGGAGTCCTAAACATGAGCATCTTATTTAAAGACTGTTAGAGGAGCACTGCTCCTCAGACAGATGGAATCTCAAGTATGAGTCCTGTGTTCACCTCTAGAATCTGGAACTCAACACTGAATGTGAGCGCCCTAAAAAATGCCATCTTACTCCTTCTGAGAATCCCTAGCTTCGGTCCATTATCCTCAATAGACAATGAAGTACCCAGGAGACTATGAGTAACAAAGTAGCATCCTACTCCTGCCTTTAGCAGAGCTGGGAAAAATAAGTGTTTCTACATAAACAAATAGGTAAGGAAGTAGGTCCACAACAGCCAGGTGTTATTCCTCTATAGCTTGGAAAAACAAAAGTCAAGAATGGGTCTCAGAAAAGCTATTCTTTAGTTTCATCTTTAACCACCTAGCTTCCTTAAGGATAAGACTAATAGTTCAATCTGCAGTGGGAGTGACTTAATCATGAAATTCTGATCCCAGACTACTGAAATGTTTATCCTGTCTTTGCTATCTATTATTAGCTGTGTGACCTTAGGCAAGTCATGTAATTATCTCTGTTGGGATAGGGACGTAGGAATAACCGTTTTTATGTTCTAAGGATGATGTGAGGCCTGAAGGAGTAAAATGCAAAGGACAGTGACTAAAATATAGTGGCTAATAAATGTTGACTGCTATCATTTTAATGTGTGCAAAATACAGAGATGAATAAATTACAGAGTTAATGAGAGAACCAGTATGTCATAGAGAATAGGCAAGGTATTTAAGCTACACTCTGCTGTTTCCAGACGCTTGACTGTCAACTGTTCTCTTTCAACAGGTGATACTATACCAAAGACCACAAACTGAAAGGAAATATTAGACCTGACCACAGCTCCACCGAACATGATTAGATAACAAGCACTATGCTACTGAAAAGTGTCATTTTCCGTGGCTTCAGAAACATGTGGGAACGGGACTAGACTAGAGGCAATTTACTGTGCACTTAAACCAGACCCCATTACACATACCTCGAGGTTCAGGCTGTCTCAGTGCCCAAAGCCTCTTGCCCATGGCTGATCTATGAAGACCCCTAGAATTTGTCTAGAAAGCTCCCACTTGTGCTAGTTAGAAGGTAGAGTAAGATGAGGGGGAGTTGTGCAAAGCCCATTTCCTCTAGGCTTCCACTATATCTACGTGTGTGGGTTTTTTTTTGTTTGTTTTGTTTCTCCTAACAGAATACATCAGAATATTGCATATCACAATACAGCAAATATCGCAATAAAGGGAGTCATACCAAGTTTTTTGTTTCCCAATAAACATAAAAGTTGTTCTCAATATACTGTAGTCTAGAAGTGTGCAATAACATTATGTCTAAAAACAATGTATATACCTTAATTAAAAATGTTTTATTGCCGAAACTGGTTTGGCTCAGTGGATGGAGTGTCGGCCTGCGGACTGGAAGGTCCCAGGTTCGATTCCGGTCAAGGGCATGTACCTGGGTTGCAGGCACATCCCCAGTGGGAGATGTGCAGGAGGCAGCTGATCAATGTTTCTCTCTCATCGATGTTTCTAACTCTCTATCTCTCTCCCTTCCTCTCTGTAAAAAATCAATAAAATATATTTTTAAAAAAATGTTTTATTGCTAAAAAAAAATCATCATTTGAGCCTTCAGTGAGTCATAATCATTTTGCTGATGGAAGGTTGTGCCTCAATGTTGATGGCTGATGACTGATCAGGGTGGCAGTTGCTGAAGGCTGGGGTAGCTATGGCAATTTCTTAAAATAGGACAGTAATGAAATTTGCTGCACTGATTCTTTTTTTTTTTAATAGTAAAGGTGGAACAAGTACAGACTCCACGTGTGGAGAGGGAAAGATTCCCACAGAATGGACTCCCACGCGGGGAGGGGGAAAGGGTCCCTGATTGACTCTTCCTTTCATGAATGATTTCTCTGTAGCATGCGATGGTGTTTGGTAGTATTTTTTGTTTCTCCTAACAGAATACATCAGAACTTCTTTCAAAATTGGGGTCAGTCCTCTCAAACCCTGCCACTGCTTTATCAACTAAGTGTATGTAATACTCTAAACCCTTTGTTTATTTCAACACTCCACAGCATCTTCACCAGGAGTACATTCCATCTCAAGAAACCACTTTTCTTGCTGATCCATAAGAAGAAACTCTCATTCATTCAAGTTTTATCATGAAGTTGCAGAATTCAGTCCCACTTTCAGGCTCCAATGTAATTCTAGCTCTCTTGCTGCTTCCACCACATTTACAGTTACTTCCTGGACTGGGTGGGGTCTTGAACCCCTCAAAGTCATCCATGAGGGTTGGAATCAGCTTCTTCCAAATTCCAGTTAATGTTGATATTTTGACTCTTCTTATGAATCATGTTCTTAATGAAATATAGAATGGTGACTCCTTTCCAGAAGGTTTTCAATTTCCTTTGCTCATATCCACCAGAAGAATCACTCACTAAGACTTGTAAGTTAAAATTACTCCTTGGTCCATGTGCTGCAGAATGGATGATATGTTAGCAGACATGAAAATAACATTAATCTCTTGGGTGACCAGCTGCATTGTTAATGAGCAGTAATATTTAGAAAGCAATCTTTTTTTTTTCTTTTTTTTTTTCTGAACAGTAGGTCTCAACACTGGGCTTAAAGTATTCAGTAAACTATGTTGCAAACAGATGTGCAGTCATCCAGGTTTTTTTGTTCCATTTATAGAAGACAGGCAGAGTACATTTAGCATAATTCTTAAGGGCCCTAGGATTTTTGTAAGTTT